CATCTTCCATGCTGGCCTTCAGATTTTCTATGGATAATTATTGTCTTTCCAATATTTTAGTAGAGCTCAGTGCTGGCCACATAAGTACTCAAAGCAAAAACTGATGAATGGATATATGCATTAAATATTCTTCCAATAAACCTTAACACATAAGCTATGATTTTGCAGTTTAATTTTTGGCTTTAATTAAAATCAGAGCCTGCACTTTGTCTGGGGACCATGTGTCTAGCAGAGCCGCCATTTTCAACTATGGAGGAAATCATCAAAAGAGACAGCCAACTCACCTCTCAAGGGTCATTTCTCCAACACAACATATCTAACAAACCAATCAACCAACAATCAACCAGCCAAAAAACAAAACAAAACCCAAACCAAACTCTGAGTCACAAGTGATGCATTAGTAAATCAATCTATGAACATATTAACCAACTTTCCTGTGCTGCCTGCATAGGATAGTAGCCTTTTGCTTTCCCTGAGCCACTCTACTAAATCAATATTCCTATATCAAAGGTGTTTTGAAAAAAAGAAGAATGATGGAAAATGTGAAACTTGGCTTCCTGTTCCTGGGACAGAATAATTTCTCCCCACTTAAGGCTTAGAAATTGGATCACTTTTGGCTAATTCCCCAGGAAAGCAACAACAGGTGTGGAAGGGACCCACAAAAGGAAAGAATATAATACACGTCTACTTTACTCTGGCATGCAAGGAAGGCTCTGGGATTCTCACTTCATTTCTTCTTGTTTTTAATACTTCTAACATTCCTCTTTTGCAAATTCAAGTTTCTGCCATGAATTACACACTCCTAGATGCTTATATTCAGAAAGGGTTAGGTTTGCATTTAATTGTGACCCAATGTTTCAATTTTATCCAGCACAAATGAGCCTGGTGAATACTTACATTGTCTGGAGCCTTCCGAGTCCATGAACTTCTAAGCAGAAACAGTCAAGTTTTTCTATTGTTCTGGAACAGAAGCACTGTATCCAGTAAGTATATGAGGCCACAACTAACCTCTTTAAACATGTCCTTTTGCCCTTTGAATGACTCAAATTCAATATCCTCAAAGTTTTAGGGCTGTGGGGTTTAAATAAATGCCAAGTGAGTTAAGAAAGTACACAACATTCTAGTTCTTATCAGACTAACATGGCTTTTAAAAGAGGAGGGATTGGGTGGCTGGGTGATAGACATCGGGGAGGGTATGTGCTATGGTGAGCACTGTGAATTGTACAAGACTGATGAATCGAATCATGGAACACTACATCAAAAACTAATGATGTAATGTATGGTGATTAACATAACAATAAACAAATTAAAAAAAAATAAAACAAAACGAAACAAAAAAGAATGTGTGACAATGATCTCAAGCAGACCATCTATTGTCGCTACCATCCCTGTCTCATCTTCCATTAGCCTGGTGATGGGTATTAAAGAGGGCACATTCTGCGTGGAGCACTGGGGTTATGCACAAACAATGAATCATGGAACACTGCATCAAAAACTAATGATGTAATGTATGGTGGTTAACATAACAATAAAAAAATTATTAAAAAAAAAAGAGGATGTATGGGGGTGCAGAAAACTGTAATCAATAACAATAGAGAAATTCCATTAAATGCTCATTCAAACAGAATTAGAAGACAAAGTGGATTCCAGCACTCATTTGATCTATGTGTAAATTAGTGTTTTTCCTTTTTTCCATTATTTTAATGAATATTTTTAAAAGTCATATAAACAATTGTTTTCTTTCTTAAGATGACAATCTTTAAATAGCAACTAGGCATTTACTACTTTTACATTCTTCCGTTTCTCTAATTCTTACTGTCAGATCACTTTGAAATGCAATCCTTGGTTCCTCCTCTGAATGCAAATGCAATTTATTTGCCTCTATTTTTATTCTTTAGAGATTTTTCTCATTTTCCCCCTTTCTCTATCATTATGTGCCAAAAGAATTCTGCGAGACCTCCAGGATTCATGGATTTGTCCATTAGAGGAAAGAACGCAGTTCAAATGCAGAGGTTTGTTTTTGCATAGGCAAATTACTTCTCCTCTGTATGCTTTGATTCCTAGTCTGTAATTAAACTAATAATAGTCTCTATCTCAAGGGGTTGTGAAGCTTACATGATTCCTATCAAGTGCTTTCCACAATGCAGCTGCATAGTAAATTCAATAAACATCAGGCTTATTACTAACATTATTTTTGTCTTTGTTACTCAATAAATGCTGTACAACGTATTGAGCTAGGTGCCATTAAGAATACAAAAGATGAATAAAACTTGGTCCTTGCTTTTTAAGAAAAAACAATATTAATAAAGGCAAGTCTGTCTACCTGCAGACAGTCAGGATGAACAGTAAAAAACGTTACCAGAGTGGTATCAATTGGGGGGATTTGGCTTGGGGGCTCGGGAGAAGGGTTAGGGTTCCTTCCCTTCAACAGAATCATTGAAAATTCTAATAAAGTGATGGCATTATTTAACTGAAACTTGACAGAGCTTTAAAAAAACAAAAACCAAAACAAAACAAAAAAAACAAAAACAAACCTGTGCTGTAACATTATATATTATCTATTATTTTAGTAAGTTAAAAATAGTATTTGTTTTAATTTACATAATCTTTGTTTATCAAATGAGGCTATACCTTTATCCATTGCTTATTTGTATTTGTGCATCTGTGTGACTTGTCACTTTATGTCCTTAGCCTGTTCCTCATGAGATTCTGTGCTTTTCTATTGTCGTGTAAAAGCACTCTATATTTTATGAGTCACAAATATTATGTTAATAGATTTCTAAATATCGACCCATCTTTGCATTTCTAAAATTAACTCCACTAAATTTGGCTATACTCGTCTGTGATGTCAGACTCTACTTTCTAATTAGTGAAATGTTTATAAGAAACTGTCTCCATTCCAGCAGTCTGCCCCCTGGAAAAGGGTGAAAAAATTATGCATCCTCAAACTTACAGGGGCCAGGCGCTTTCTACAGCATCTGCAAATAAAGTAAAGATCTGTTTTGCCTCCTTACCCAACTCCCACCTTAAAGGTGGGAAAGGGCTGCATTGGAAGTGAAAGGGAAGAGGGAATTTCTTTGGAGAGTATTTCTGGCATTTGCACAATTTCTTTTTCTTTTTTTTTGCTCCCTCTACTCCCCACATGGAAGAGAAGATTGGAAGTGTTTTTCTTTACCTCAAGCTGAGTAAGGTCTTGGGTATATGACATGTGTCTCTAGCAGGTTGGGGGGAGAAAAAGAACTTTTTGGCATATTGTATTTTCCAAAAAAAGGCCAGAGTAATATACTCTTCCAGAACATGACCAGTTGCAAGAAAAGGAGGAGTCTCTTTGCCTCCCCTTGAACGTGGGTGAGAAGGGACTGCTCTATCAAGAGCACAGAATGATGCTGTGTGACTTCCAAGGCTAGATCATAAAATGACATATAACTTCTGCCTGACTCCTTTTCCTTGGGTTGCCCGTTCTGGACAAAGCGGGCCCCCTGGCTGTGAGGAAGCCCTACACAGCCCACATAGCCAGGCTATCTGGAGAGGAACTGAGGCCCCGGCCAACAGCCCACGTTAGCCACTGACATACACAGGGACTACATTTAGACTCTTACAGATGGCAGGCACACTGGCAGCAAGCCAAGGATGTGGGAACTCTTCAATGGGAGGAGGTGAAGAGGCCAGCCCAGAAGAGATTCCACTGGAGAGAGATGCCTTGAGAGGCAAAGTGACCTAGCTGAGGGGGGCTGACATTAAACAGAGGTTGAGGGAGACAGCTAGAGTAAGGAGAGACATTAGATCACCCAAGGCAGAATATCGAAGAAGCTCCAGAAAGAAACCTTTCTTTCTCTTTCTTTGTCTTTGAAGTCTTAAGGCACCAGTGCCAAATTCCAAGTATAGCCTTCCAGTTTTACTGTATTCTTCACCACCTTGTGCATAATCGTAAACCAAAACTGTAGCTAGCAAGGCGAAAGCTATGAGCTTTATCAGGAGCTGGTTTTGAACAGAGTAGAGAGAAAAGTGTCATTTACTTTACTATTTACTTCACGCTACCAAGTCTGTCTCATTTATTTAAAAGGTCTGTAACTTTTTTTCTTCTTTTTTGACAGTGTCGTGAAGTATTGATGTGAATATTTTAACTATTTCTTACAAAAACTTGGATGACATTAAAAGCACTGTGTTGACATCATTGACGTTTTGATAGAATTCACCTGTAAAATTGACTCATCTTGATATTTTCTTTGGGAGAGGAACCGGAGGCAATTTTTGGCAAATTTATCCATAGTAATTAGTGTCTGTAGATTTTCTATATTTCTCTGAGGTCAATTTTTGTTGTTGTTGTTGTTAGAACAACTCAGCAAAATAAAATTCCGGTTTATTGTTGGACAACATTGTTTCACACATACATCAAACAGGCCAAAAAAAATAAACAGCAACTTCATAGACAAAAAAGGAAAAAAAGAAACCTTTTATCTTTGGCCTTTTTAACCATCTCATACAAACCAACTACTTATAGTACAGCTAAGTACATACACAAAAAAAGTTACTGGAATGCTCGGAATAAGATTGTTTTTTTGTTGTTGTTTTTGTTTTTTTTCCAAGGTTTTTTTTCTCCTTTGAGATTATAATGAACGTGGTCACACCACAAGTAAAGTCAGAAGTAGGACAGAGAACGCTCCAAAGGCTGGTTTGGTCATCCGAGATCATTAAAAATGGCTGACCCCTAACAATATGTACAAAAATATAAAATGTAAATAAAAAATACAAATTTTCCTTTTTAAAGGACTTTTAAGAAAAAAAGCAGGGCCTTGGAAGTTTTGGTTCTTTTCTCCTCCCCTGTTGCAAATTCACGTTGTGGTTTTGGCTGGGTGGCGGAGAGCGTGTGTCATCTGCGGGTGGCGCTGCCCGCGTTGGGCAGGCGGGCGGGGCTCTCTACTCGAAGGTGACCACGTTTAGATTCTGAGACGGGAAGTGGAGGGTGAATAGGTCACGGTGGCCTTTTGTTGTTGTTGTTGTTGTTAAGTTTAACTTTTCCTTTTTTGCTGTCTAGTCATCCTCATCGGTCTTCTGCTTCTTGGTGTCGACATCGTCATCCTGCGCAGAGAAAGACGGTCAAGGCCCTTGCAGCCCCCTGGGCCCACCCCCACTCCCGCGGGCAGAGGCAAGGGGCCAGGCACTGGCTGCTCCAGACGCTTCCAGAGCTCTGGGAAGGCAGGCCTACGTTCCTTCCTGTTCCTGCTCAAGGTACGGAAGCCTTTCGGGACCACGCCACGGAAATCAGCCCCTCTGGCTACCATGCCTCACATCCCGGCCCCCATCGAAGCCCAAACCCACCTCATCGTCTTCAGCTGCCCATTTGCCTGTAGCTGCCTCGGCCTCCTCGTCTTCGTCTCCATCGTCTTCCTCACCATAGCCTTCCTCCTCCTCCTCCTCTTCCTCCCCCCGTCTTCCTCTTCTTCATCTACCTCATTGTCGGCCTCCTGCTCCCCATTTTCCTCATTAGCGTTCCCATCAGCAGGCGCGTCTCTTCCATTCTCTGCCTCCTCCACAACTTCCTTCTTCTCCTTTAAGTCTTCGGTGGTGATCTCGGAGCTGGTGGCCACGGCTGCGTCTGACATGATGGGGCACGCCAGTGATCCGATGCAGCGGATTAAAAAGAAAGCAAGAGTTCGAGGACTCTGGCGAGAAAGCTGCTGGAGTCCGCGGTGGCGGAGGAGGCGCGCGGCGGAGGTGGTTGTGGCGAACCGCAAGCCAGACACGGGAACAATGCAAAGATGGCTTTTCAGAGCAGCCAGTGGGGTGTCTGAGGTCCGTTTTTGACAAACTCTATTTTTCTAGAAGATTGTCATTTTTATCTGCATTTTAGTTGAGTCCAACTGATTATTTGCTCATGATGGTCACTTATTCTTAGCTGGATCCTAAGAACCATGGGTATCTGGCTGACTATAACTCTTTTCCTTGTTTGCAGTTAATTTTTTTCACAATCTCCATATTTTAGATTTATGATAGTCATTCTTTGCTAGTTTGCTGCCATAACATAAAACTTTCACATCTGTGTGTGAATGAGTGTGCACGCACGTGGGTGTGTGCGCGTGAGTGTGGGGTCCTGTTCAGAGCTCTGTTCCTGGGTTGCAGATGGACGCTTTCTTGCTGTGCCCTCCCATGGTGGACAGAAAGAAAGTGAGCTCTCTGGTATCTCTTCTTAGATGAGCATGAATCCCATCAGAGCAAAGCCCCATCTTCATGACTTCATCTAACCTCCATTAACACCCCAAAAGCCCCATCTCCAAATACCATCACATTGGAGGTTGGGTCTTCAACATATGAATTCTGGGGTCACACAAACATTCGGTCCATAGCATGTACACAGATACACACACATCAACGGTGGCTTGCAGATATAGTGGTGTTTGATTGGAGGGCTGAAAGAAGAGATAGTGAGTCACATGGCTATCTAGAGGAAGAGCATTCCAAGGAGAAGAGAGAGACAGGCTCAAAGACCAGTGTGGAAGCCAGTGTGGCTGGGTGGAGGGAGAGAGCAAAGGAGGGAAGAACACCAGGTGATGAGATTAAACAGCAAATGAGGGCCTAGATTGTGGTAAGATGCCAAGTGGGAAAGAAAGTGTGGGAGCCTCTGAAGCCAAGGAGTGATACAGCACAAAAGGTAATGTTTGTACAAAGTGATGTTGTGCTTTAGGAGCATATGGTATTATGATATGCTGGTATTTCTGAAGCATTTTAAAACAGAGAAATTAAGGAGTTGCATGGGAATCGAAATGTTTAGGGAGTCACAGTTCATCGATGCTGAGTTTAGTCATTGTTCTCTTTGTTAAAAAAAATCCATCCCGCAATAACGATCCCTCTCCATTATTGTGAAACCTCATTATTTAAATGTAATTTGTCAGAGGTTCCATTTTAGATGTTCAATTTTTAATTAAAGTGAATGATTAACATTTTGATATTAATATTATATATTGGTTCAAGTGTAAAGATGTAAATATTTAACTTAATATGTTGCTTATGTATTATTATAAGGAAAAACAGAAGAATATTATCTGCAAGAAACTGCTGACCTTGACCATGCTCTGGAACGAAACCATGCTCTTCAGTTTTCTGTGTACTTTTTGCATCAATCGTTGTGCTGCTCTTGCAATATCCACCTCTCGAAATATTTCGAAAGCGAGAAGTTAAAGAGGCAGACTAACAAAGCAACCTTCTGTGATCGGATATAATTTTGCCATCTGAGATCCACGAGGTGGATGGAATGGTGGGCTGGCGCTACCATTGTGCCAGGTAGCACTAGCTTATAATGAAACATGAAGGCCCCTGTTGCTGCTTCTCTCCCCTCTCTATCCAGGGTCCACATGCATCACCAGTGATGCAATTTTTCTTGTCATATGAAGCAAGGAGAATCTGAAGGAAAACATCTGTTGACATAAAAGGAAAGAAAAAGAAAAGATGATTTCCTGAATTATGTAATAAGAAATAAGAGATATATTGGGGCACCTACGTGGCTCAGTCGGTTGAGTGTCCGACTCTTGGTCTCGACTCAGGTCATGATCTCAGGGTTGTGGAATTGAGTCCTGTGTTCGTTCCATGCTCAGCAGGGAGTCTGCTGGAGAATCTCTCTCCCTCTGCCCCTCCCCCCTAAAATAAATAAATAAATCTTTAAAAAAAGAAATGAGATATGTCAGCAAACATATTGTATTTTTGATGTGTATATTGCATTTCACCAGTTTATAGCAAGTTGCAACAATGTCATATATCTGTTTTTTTTTCTTGAATAACAGTTTGAATGGTATCATTCTAAGAAAAGGTTTATAAAATTTGAGATCATTCCTCCACTAAAACAGCACTGACTAGGTTAACCAAATTATTCTAGTAGCTATGTAGCTAAAAATCAGATAGACCTTCATTCCATAGTCTATTATTTTTTATGAAAGAAAAACAGTGGCAGGGTTTTAACAATGCGATAAAACAGTCCAAAGAGCAATCCAAAATAAAAGAATCTTTGTCCTCTGTTAGGAGGTGGCATCATCCCTTAAGACAGTTGTCTCCAAATGTACTCATATCCTACTTCTCTGTTAATGATGCCTTCACTGTTCTGTGGAGAAATGGGTTAAAACCAATGTGGTTTGTGTTGTTTTTCGAAGTAGTAAATATAATCAATTTAAAGAACTGTCTTTCATTTTCCTATTTTATCTTTCTTACATTTATGGTGTTAAAATGCTTGCTCCTTTAGAAAATAGGGGCGCCTGGGTGGCTCAGTCAGTTGAGGGTCCAACTGTTGATTTCGGCTCTGGTCGTGATCTCAGGGTTGTGAGATCGAGGCCACATGGGGCTGTGCCCTGGGTGTGGAACCTGCTCGAGATTCTGTCTCCCTCTCCCTCTGCCACCCCCTGACTCCCCCCAACCCCCCAAAACAAAAAAGAACAACAAAAAAAGAAAATAGTTAATAATAATTTTGTTTTCTGGAAATTTCTCTCGGCTGACTTTCTCCAAGTTCTCAACATCGCTAAGATTGTTAATGAAGACAGTGTCATTAGTAAGGTGCCATTTGGGCTTCCATTTTTATTTCCAATCTCCCTTGTTTTGCTTCCCAACTGACCCTGTTTCAGATCAGTAGCCTGTAGAAGCTAAGAAAAGGTAACATTCTTATGTCTTGTCACTCTAGATTTCTCTTTGGAAGATTATATTTCTCTTGGTAAAATATTGCCTTTTCTCTCCTTCCATTACCCTTTCTGCAGGAGGGTTAAACATTCCTACCCTGTTGAATTCAGAAAAGCCATGTGATTTACTTGCATCAATAAAATGTGAGTGGAAGTCACATTTGTCATTAGGAGCCATTTTTTAGTTCATGGTCTCTCATCACAGTCTAGTGCATCATATTCTCTTCTCTCCCATTTAAGAAGTCTTTGCCTGAGTTAAAGTGGCAAAGATATTATCCTATGCTTTCTTCTAGAAATTTTAATTGTATGCTTAGGTCTATGAGATATCTCAAAATTTAAGATTTAAATTTAATTTAATGTTGTATATGGTGTGTTGTAGATATCAAGGCTCATCCCCCCCCCCCTTGGGCATATTTACTTATTCTAACACCGTTGAGTAGATACCATTCAGGCTTTGAGTTTTTCTTGCCTGAGCAGACAAGAATACTACAAAAATCTTCACATATTTTGGAGCAATAGCATTTTCCTATGGTTATATAAATTAATACTACACAGTTCAGCATTATTGGATCTCTCTTCACTATGATGGCAGTCTGCAGGGGAGAAAGAATTTCAGAAGAAAACTTAGAAATCATACCAAAATAAATTGGTTACTTAGCTAAGTATGGGGGAAGGGCTGAAGAAAAAGTTTGGGAAGGGAATTGTATGAGGGAGCTAGGTGTTCATCTCTAATAATGGGAAGTTGGTAGATAATATCTAAGTTGAATACATGAAAAATAGTGGTATAAATGTATGGTTTAGGAAAATAGAGTTAAATGGCAGGAAATACAACTAAAATTTCACCTAAAATTTTTTTTTAGAGATTTTATTTATTTATTTGTCAGAGAGAGAGAGCAAGTGAGCACAAGCAGGGGGAGCAGCAGAGGGAGGAGAAGCAAGCCTCTCGCTGAGCAGTGAGCCCGATCTGGGACTCAATTCCAGGACGCTGGGATTATGATCCAAGTTGAAGGCAGAGGCTTAACTGACTGAGCCACCCAGGTGCCACATAACTAAAACTTTAAAGATCCTCCTGTTGCTTAGGGAAATTAGAGGCAGAGTTTTACTCTTTTGCAATGGAAATCTTACAATTCGTTGACATTTCTACAGGTATTTGCATATATTAGTTAAATTATTTTTCAAATGTTTCCAAAAACAAGGAGAAATCATCTGCAGGGATGCACCCCAAGTGATGTTCTGTAGGGAGAGAGGTTGAGGGACCATACTTCGACCCCATTATATGTGTGTTGGTAGGTACTGAACTGAGTTTCCCCCAAATTTGTACGTTGGAGTCCTACACCCCAGTGTGTAGACAGGTCCTGTGAGGAGGTGAAAATGGTTGTATGAGATCATAAGCACAGGTCCTAATCCAATAGAGCCGGTGCCCTTGTAAGAAGAGACACCAGAGCTTTCTCTCCACCCTGTCAGGGCAGCAGTGAGAAGGTGGTTGTCTGCAAACTAGGGAGAGAGCTGTCCCCAGAAATCGACACTGCTGGATCTTGATGTGAGACTTCCATTCCACAGAGTTGTGAGAAAATAAATTTCCTATCGTTTAAGCCACCCAGTCTGTGGTATTTTGTTATGGCAGCCCGAGCCAATTTGTACACATGTTGTAATTTTATTTTTTTCTCATGATAAGCACATATCATTTCATGATGAAAATATTTAACTGTAGGGAAAAGAATTATGTTATAAAAGTAGCATCTCCATATTTCAGAAAATTTGAAAAATTGTAAAAATGGAGAAGAAACCCTGTATTTCTTTTTACTCTTTTGTCTTGCAAATTTATATCTGTACACATTTTATAGCTGTAATTATATACTGTGTTTAAATTTGATCTAATATTCTGCATTTCCTGTGGTAAGGTAAATATTAATATGCTTACCATGTGTATAACTATAATTTAAAGGATTACAAAATATTTTTTTGAGTTGATATATTTTATCAATATTTTATTAAACTAATTTGTTTATGGCTGAACATTTTTGTTATTTATACTTTTTGGCTATTATGAAAAACAGTGTACTAGATATAGCCAGGCATATGGCTTTTTAAAGTTGGACTTCTTTCCTTAGGATAGATTCCCAGA